TGATGACACAAGGTCATGCCAAGGTCGCGAAATGGCGGAAGCTTCCAAGGACTTCTGGTGACGGTGCTGATTGGGACCGGCCACTTTGGAGGAAAAATAGGCAACATCTGATAAAGTTGGAGACATGCCTGTTACGTGACGCAGGGGTTCCATACCAATCAATGGACTCCAGGAAAAACCCGGCCCAAGTTGGCCTGCATAAGAATGCTCACTGAAGCATTGTTTTTATAAATAAAAAATTCTAAATAACATAAAAGTCCATTAAGCTGGACTGGCAGTAGCACCTGGCCAATATTTAAAGTTTTAAAACCACAGGAAACGACGCTCAGGGTGGTGTGCAAATACATTCTTTTTTTTTTTGAGACAGAGTCTTGCTTTGTTGCCTAGGCTAGAGTGAGTGCCGTGGCGTCAGCCTGGCTCACAGCAACCTCAAACTCCTGGGCTCAAGAGATCCTCCTGCCTCAGCCTCCCGGGTAGCTGGGACTACAGGCATGCGCCACCATGCCTGGCTAATTTTTTTTGGTATATATATTTTTAGTTGGTCAATTAATTTCTTTCTATTTTTGGTAGAGACAGGGTCTCGCTCAGGCTGGTTTCGAACTCCTGACCTCGAGCAATCCGCCCGCCTCGGCCTCCCAGAGTGCTAGGATTACAGGCATGAGCCACCACGCTCGGCCCGAATACATTCTTAAATAGCAAAAATATTAAAATGTGCGTGGAGGGCACAGCACTCTGGGAGACCGAGACGGGCGGATTGCTCCAGGTCAGGAGTTTGAAACCAGCTTGAGTGAGACCCCGTCTCTACTAAAAATAGAAAGAAACTAATTGGCCAACTAAAAATATATAGAAAAAATTAGCCGGGCGTGGTGGCACATGCCTGTATTCCCAGCTACTTGGGAGGCTGAGGCAGGAGGATCGCTTGAGCCCAGGAGTTGGAGGTTGCTGTGAGCTAGGCTGACGCCACGGCACTCTAGCCTCGCAACAAAGTGAGACTCTGTCTCTAAATACATACATACATACATACATACATAAATAAATAAATAAATAAATAAATAAATAAATAAATAAATAAAAATGATTCGTAACCACTGCTGAGCTGCGCTCACGTCTGGGGACGGGAAGAAGGAAATTCGCCCTGGTTTGAACACGTGCTGGGCATCAGCCACATCCGTGAGGTTTTCGTCCTTTTGTAAAAGGGAAATAAACATGGCAAAATGTAAATATTGGTTAAAGCTGATAGTAGGTATACAGATATTCTAATTTTCTGCAAATAAAATATTGGCAGAAAAAAAAGTAATAGATAATATTTGGGGGGAAAGCTAAAATAATAGATAATGAGAAAATGTATTGGAAAGCAAAAGAAAGCATGCAACTGAAGTAAAACATCGATAATTTGAAAACACCAACAAACTGGAGAAACTTCTGGAAAGTCTAACCAAGAGGAAACATGAATACGTAATACGTGCAACAAGTAATAAGCAAATAATCACAGCCAGGAAGGGCACAGAAAGTAACAAGAGAATACCATTTGTAATGTTATAGAAGTGAAGGTGAATATTTGCATAATATGGACAATTTCCCAGGAAGTCATAAATTTTCCCCAAACTGTTACAAGTCCCAGTAGAAACTCGCAATGCATTGGCATCTGTACAGGAAATTGAAAAGTGTGAACTAAAGTAAAAATTTAAGGCTCAACCCCCACTGGCTGACTGAATGGACCCCCTCATGGCCAAAGGAATATCTTAAAATTAAATTGGCTGCCAGGAGGACCATTAATGAATGGCCTAAGGGTATGCAAGACACACCTGCAGGTCCTCAGTTTACACAACTAATCTATGTCCTGTGGCTTATCTCCTTATGTTAAAACATTCCAAGCCTTTAGACAAAGCTTCATGTCTTTAACCAATTACAATCCAAAGAATCTTTAAACCCACCTACAACCTGTAAGCCCCTCCCCCTTTGAGATGTCCCACCTTTTTGGGCCAAACCAATGTACGCCTCCCACGCATTGATTGGTGACTTTACCTGTGACACCACCACCCCCTCCCTGAAATGTATAAAAACCAAACTGTCACCCAGCCAAACTGTAACCTAGGGAGTCCACTTGCCCAAGGCCTCTTGGGAGTGGCTCCGGGTCATGATCCTCAAATTGGGCTCAGAATAAATCTCTTTAAAATTATTTTACAGAGTTTGGCTTTTTTTCCGCTGACAAAAGCATTGGCCATCACCCATTTCCAGAAAAGACCCTAGTTCAAAAACACTTATAAGGAACTGACAAATCCTCTTAACTTAAACCACTGGAGAGCACACGAACATGTAGAAATCTTTCCAATTTGTGCTAAGAAATTAGAACAACCTAAATATAAGAATCTAATAAAACAGTATGCAAAAAATAGATTCCATCTTACTTAGCAATGATTGTAAAAACCCCAGATAAAATATTAACATTTGAATCCAGCAGGGTATTAGGAAGTAGAATACCAGGGAGGCCCTGCGTCAGGATATAAATCTGGCTCAACATGCACGAAGATATATACTCACCGACAGTGGAGAAAAACACATCTTCAGACACAAAGGTCTGAAGATCATGAGAGTTCTAAGAACAGCCAACACGTACTGAGTGTTTGGCGCATGTCAGGCACTTTGATAAGAGCCTCACGTTTTCTTTAATCCTCCCGACAGCCCTATGGAGCTGGTATTATTACTACCCCCTTTTTTTTTTCCATATAAAGGAACTAAAAACTTAGAGAATTTAAATACTTTGCCCAGGCTACGAATAGAAATTCCTTAGCTCGAAGGAAATTATTTCCCAAAATTAACAGCCGACATCACAATGATTGAGTAGTGTAAGGTTTTTCGGCGGCGGCGAAAAGAAAAAACAGAAAGAGTGGGGGCCAAACCACGTGGCTTTATTATACACTCGTGGACGAGGTTCTGGGGCCCCAAGAGAGGGGGGGTGCAGAAGTCGCCGCTGTTTGAAGGGGCTGAGGCCTTTTATACCCTTTGGGCCTGGCTAGGGACTTTTGGCGGGAAGAGCTAGGGATTTTAGGAGGGGCTGGAGGTATTGGTGGAATCCAAGAGCCGAAAGGGTCTTATCCAGGTGGACATCTGGGTGTGGTTGCTCTCAACGGGGCCTGGCAGTTTTGTCCTTGGCGGGTCTGGTCTCATGAGCCTTTTCTTTTTTGATCTAGGGAAGGGAGGGGGCCTGCCACCAGCCCTACAAGTAGGATTCCAGCTCCTTGCCTGATCCCTGGGAGTCGTGTCTCAATAGTCTAGGTCATTGTTTACCTCCACCCAAGGCTTGGTGTGTTGCTGTTCAGCCCATAGCAGAACCGAAGCCCAGCTTATAACTGGCACTGAATAAAACATAAGCTGACTTTTCCCATGGCGCCTCGGCACCAGGGCCCGCCTTCCGCCATTGGAACCATCTCCAGGGAACCATGGGCTTCACTTGGAGCCCTCCGGGGCAGTGCGAAGTCCCTGCGCTCGCTGCTGACCGGAACTCAAGGGTCTGGTCCCACTTGGGCGTCTTCGATCAAACCATTTGCCCCCTCTGAGCCTCGCTGGCCCCTCAGACGCTACAGGAACGGCGCTGGCTTGGGCGGGCTCCAAAGCTGACTCTGTCAATCTATGACAAGAGTGCTGACCCACAAACAGGGCTCAAATGACGTCTTCCATCGCAGCAATGTGCTCGGGCGTCTTTCTCGTTGGCCCCCTGCTGCTACGTAAGGGTTGTCAAGTCTGCAGGAAGGAAACGTCAGCGTCTCAATTCACAGCTGGAAACAAATGAAAGATGTTTCTTTGCAAAAGAAGCATCTCTTGCAAAACTTAGCTTGCGAAACCTTGGGCTTCTGCCAGTTTGCCCACCGAACACAGACGATCGGTTCGTGTAGCTCTGCAGAGCATATCTGTGTGCATTTGGGGGGAAATACTAGCAAAAGTCAAGTGCCCATTCTCATACGTCTGACTGGAGTAGAACCAGAAAACACATGCCCGATGCAGCTCGGTGGAGCCCCAGCCAGTCCTGCAGAACAGGGACATGGTGCCCAGAGGTTTCCAAAGAAAGATGAGGCCAAGACAGGCATTTTTATTTTATTTTATTTCATTTTTTGAGACAGAGTCTCACTTTGTTGCCCAGGCTAGATTGAGTGTGGTGGCGTCAGCCTTGCTCACAGCAACCTCAAACTCCTGGGCTCAAGCGATCCTCCTGCCTCAGCCTCCCAAGTAGCTGGGATGCCCAGCTAATTTTTTCTATATATATTAGTTGGCCAATTAATTTCTTTCTATTTATAGTAGAGACGGGGTCTCGCTCTTGCTCAGGCTGGTCTCGAACTCCTGACCTCGAGCGATCCTCCCGCCTCGGCCTCCCAGAGTGCTAGGATGACAGGCGTGAGCCACCGCGCCCGGCCAAGACAGACATTTTAAAATGTCATTTTGGTTCTGGGTAGTGGAATATTCAACCAGGCGGAAATTTAACATTTCTCTCTGGGGGAGATGAACTGCAGATGAGCACACCTTGGAAAACGGGGGGCAGGGGGAGGCAGGCACGCTTGCAGGGGGAGCCTTGAGCGGGAACTTGAACAGGACCCCACCCGCTCCCTCTCCGTGGTCAGTCACAGGAATCCGCTCCCGTGGCCCGGGCTCCCTAAGCAGCATCCAGGGGAGGAGAGAGCATTTCTGCAGCCCCAGAAATGAATCACCCCGGGGATGAAAGCACCGGGCACGGGCCGGGGCCACCGCTCTGAGCCGGGTCACCTTGAGGGGGGAGGGGCTCTGGATCCCAGATGCTGCGGGTTCCCGGACAAGCTCCAGCCCTGCGTCCTGGAGGCCACAGTGCCCAAGGAGGTGTCCCACATGTGTCCCAGGGGCTGTGACATGGGAACTCTTGGCGGAGAGCTGAGGACAGCCGGAAACCCCCTCCCCAGCCCTTGGAAGGCCACCCCGGCCACTGCAGCAGGGCCTGGAGCAGACTCCCGAGCTGTCAGCAGCTTCCCGAGGTGATGGGCACCCCTGTCCCCAAGGAGGTGCTGCACCTGGGAGGCACAGGTAGACTGGCCCTGTGGTCAGAAATAAGCACCTCCGGGACTTGTTTCATCCTAAGAATCCCACACTCAGAACAGGTGTGCAGTGGAAATATTAATAGGAAATAGGTTTGTCCCCCAGAGGGGAAAGGAGGGACGTGTCTGTCAGCTGTACGGGGGGTCGGGGAGGACACCCCCAGCTCTCAGAGCAGGGACGCTGCCCCAGCCCCGGGAGCCCGGGTGGAGGCGGGGTGCACGGAGGACGGCAGGTGTCCCGGACTTGGCCCTGGTCTGGCTGCTGGACCCAGCCCAAGGTGGGCCAAGCCGACACTCTGGCCCAACACCCCACAGAGACTGTTTAACCACCTCAGTACGAGCGTCGGCTGTAGTCGACAGCCACAGATGGACGCGCACAGCCCAGCATGGCCTGTAGCCGACAGCCACAGATGAACCGAGCGTCGACTTTAGCCGACAGCCGTGATATGACTTTTCTAATTTTTCATTTATCAAAATAAAATTGCGAACATTTAAAAATAACGTCATGAAAACGTATGTGTATATGTTACCTGTTCTGACTTACATCACAAGTAAAGCTGCCTGTAAAGTAAAACAAGCTTCCAGGGCTTTCAAGCTTTCCTCGTCACACGAGAGCAAGACGGACGCTTCGTCAACGCACAGCACAGACCGCCGTGCGGGCTGCGGGCGAGGTGTCGCGGCCGGTGAGCACTGGACCGAAGCGGTTAATCTGGGTTTCCTGCTTCATTTTGAGCCATTTTTCAAATTACGTTTTTCTAGGAAAGCACCCACGTTGCTGAAGTTTCCAAGGGCACCGGCGAAGTGTGACAGAGCTCGGCCCGGTCCTGCCCCGGCTCCCTGGCGTCTGGCTCCTCGCGGCGCGGCTCCGCCCTCCCCCTTCTCCTAGATCCCACCCGCCAAACGTCTGTCCAGGTGCAAGCTATTTCAGGTAACTTGCTCCGGGGTTTATGTTTAGTTCTGTTGGTTTTCTGCTCCGTGAATCGTTAGTTTGTACTTTTAACTCTACGAATCTCATCTTCCGGATTTTCCCGATGTCGTTTATAGGCAACTTCCTAAGTCGGTTCCCCGTTTCTCTGCATTTAATTCCTTCCGTTCAATGATGAAGGTTGCGATTTTGCCCCAGAGTGCACTAACCTGCTTTTTCTTTCTCTTTACATCCTCGTAGGGGTTTTCCCCCGTGATTTTTGAAAGTCAGAGATTGCCTGGAAAAATGTAAGGCGTAGGTCTCTTTCCATCGAAAATGCCTTCTGTGCAGTTAGTGCGTTCAGGCCACAGACGTAAGCCTCTCTTCAGCTCAGGGAGCTTTTCCATCGCGGTCATTTCTTCTGGGCAGGGGCTGGCGCAAGCAGGGCAGGGAGGGAGGGGGCCCGGCAGGGGCGCGTCTCAGATGACGGACAAGTTTCTGCCCCGTCCCCTCTGGAGTGCAGACGGCACAGCAGGGATTGTCCTCCCAAGAGGCCTGAGCTGGACCTTCAGTCGTCAGCCGTGGGCCGCCCCAGCGTGGCACCAGCGCCAGGGCTCTCCCACCCAAGGGCGGCCTCCCGGGCGGTCACGCGTGTCGGTTGCTCAGAGGAAAACACACAGGGGCCGGGGCTGTGCCGTGGCCAGGGAAGGGGTTCCGGGGCTCTGAGTGGGGCCCGGAGCATCCACACGAGGTTAGGAAATGACCCAGCAGGATGAACACGGCGCTTGCAGACATCTGACACAGAGACGGTGACCTCTCTCCGCAGAACCCTTCTCTGTCCGGACTCCTGTCTAAGTGGGCGCTGCCCGTCCCGCCGGTGGTCGCTGGGAGGGCTCTTAGTGGTGAGGGGCGTGTAGATACTGGACGGTAACAAATGCTAAGCACCACGTCCCCTGCGTCCCAGCCCCTCCGCACATCTTCCCGGCCCTGGCGGTTGCCATGGTTTCAGTCGCCTGTTACGTACACTCGTTGTCATCTCTCTCTGAGCGGCCTGTGATCGGCTGTGATGCAGGGTGGGTCTCTGAGCACGGTCCTGGGGGACGGTGTGGTTGCCGGGGTTACAGCGTGGGACAGCTCTGTCCTGGGCAGACGCCACCCCCTGAACCATTCGCCGGTCTGGGGGACGTGATCAGACAGGTCACCTTTCGGGACGGCTGTGCTTCTATTTGCGGAGCCGGCTGACTGCTGCACGTGGCCAGCCCTGAGTCTGGCCGCCCCCGGCGAACGCGTCACGCTGCTGCTGCCTGCGATGAGCGGGTGACTTTCAGTCCCCTCGGCTTCCTGCCGCCGGTGGCTGCGGGCACCGGCCAAGCCTCAGGTCTCATGCTCGGCTCCCAGGGTGAGGGTGCCCCTGGCCAGGCACAGACTCCGCCCTCGGGCAGTTACACACCGAGTTGCATCCCCTACCCCCAAAAATTCACACGTTGAAGCCGTAACCCCCAATGTCACCGTATTTAGGAGACAGGGCTTTTAGGAGGTGACGGAGGTTGAATGAGGTCATACAGGCGGGGTCCCAATGCGGTGGAAGGGGCGGCCCTGTAGAGAGACATGCATGTACGCACGCCAGGGTGAGGCCCTGCGTGCGCACAGCGTGGAGACCCGCCTGCAAGCCGGGAGCCGACCTCAGGGGCAGGCAGCCTGCGGGATGGTGAGCTGGAGACTCCAGGCTGCAGATGTGCAAGGCAATGACCTTCCGCTGTTTCGCCGCACGGTCTACCACGCTCTGTGGTGGCCGCCTGAGCAGAGACGCAGATAGAAATAAAGAAATAAATTGAAGGGATGCCCTCTAACCCTTTTTAGGGAGAGGCAAAGATATATACATTGTAACCAAAATGCCTAAAAAAAAAACAAAAAACAAAACACCTGTTATCCAAAGGTGGGCAGGTGGGAGGGGGAGGAGGGGAGGGGTGTGTACTGACACAATGGGTGCGGTACGCACCACCTGGGCGTTGGACATGCTTGAAGCTCTGGCATGGCGGGGTGGGGGAGGGGTGGCAGGGGCAAGGTATGTAACCCTAACAATATTTGTACCCCCATAATATGAGGAAATAAATAAAAGGAAAAATTAGTTTTAAAAATATCCATAGGAAAAAATGAATAACAAAGGAAAGAAAGGAAAGAGAGAGAGAGAGAGAGAAAGAAAGAAAGAAAGAAAGAAAGAAAGAAAGAAAGAAAGAAAGAAAGAAAGAAAACAAAGAAAGAAAGAAAGAAAGAAAGAAAGAAAGAAAGAAAGAAAGAAAGAAAGAAAGAAAGAAAGAAAGAAAGAAGAAATTCACCAGCACAGAAAGAGAGGCAGGGCAGGGCAGCCTTGAGCCGGGTCCTTCACGGATCTCCCAGGAGGACAGCAAAGCGGGCTCACGGTGCGGCTGTTACCCTCTTAGCGTGCCGTGAGGTGCAGGTCCCCAGGAGTGCGAGGGGCATGGCAGCCACAGAGCGAAGGCGGAAAAGGTAAGTGTCCTTCCTCCCTCCCCGAGCCACGGGCTGGCCGGGGGAGGAGAGACACCCACAGAAGTGGGGAACAGTGGGGAACAGCTTTGGGCTCGTTCCGTTTGAACCCAGCAGAGCAAAGGTGGAAACAGTTTGACTCTGTTTAGGGGAGAAACACTTGATGAGCACTAATACTTGCTAATGGTAATATTCGATGTAGTATTAATACTTAATGCTAAACTCCAATGCGTTGGCCGGGACAAGCCTGGCTGTGCCTCAGACCACTCTGCCCCAGAGAGCTAAGGAAACGACCAGGACAGCAGAAGACAAATGAGCCAGAAGGGTCCAGAGGCAGGGGAAGGACAAGGGCCCCTGGCCAGGCCCATGTTTACGCTGCCAGGTGGTCAGTGACCAAACTCCTCACGTGTAACCGAAATGCTACGGACATTTTTTTTTTCTTATCTGCTTCAAGCAGGTTTCTAATCTACAACTTTTTTTAAAATTGAGTTCCAGTTTCAGTTAGTTTAGTAGTTGCATGGGTGCTTTCAAAAGCACAAATAAGGTGTCATATTTTCAAAATGCAAAACTGCCCCGATTGGCATTTTAGTAATGTTACCAAACCGGCACGTGAGTCCAAAGTAGTTAGGTCCCCCTAAGAGATCGTTGCTGAAGACAGAGGATGGGGCAGGAGGCGTCACACCTGTGAGCTTCCCTGAGCACCTGCCCGGCGCCGGAGCAGTGCATGGATTTGTGCGCAAAGCCTGTGTCTGTGCAACCTTTGAACTGTGACCTCCTTATTGCTGGATTTTTCCCTAAAACCCTGACTCAGAGACCTGCTTCAGGTCCTATGTTTGGATTTTTCATTTTCCCTGTGGCTTTCCCACTTGGACCTGCTGTCCCATAGTCCTAAAACCGCACTCTCTGACAAGGGGGCTGGGTCAGCCCAGAGCCCAGTGCCCTTAGGGGCCACTGGTTCACTCAGGTTAGAATCCCTGACTCTTCAGAATCTATCTCCAACTGCCTCAGGACGATGGCAGATGGAGCCTTTGGCTCCTGCAATCTCAGCGCTGAAGGACAAAGCAGCTACGCTGGGACCACGGAGCGGCTGCTGGGAAGGCAGCCGCTCTGCTCCCAGGGAACTGCGGAGGAGCTCAGAGCTGTGTTGTCTCCTGGGTGTCGTGTCCTCGCTTCCAAGCAGAGCTGGACAGAGCTCCTGGCGCCTGGTGATGAGGGCTAATGAGCACACTCCATCTGGAAGGCAGGGAGGCAAGTCTGCTCCGTAAGGCCACGTTCTTGGCATTCGCCCCAGCCGGAGGCACTGGTGACGCATCTGATGCTAACTCGGGACTTCAGGGTCAGCATTTGCAAGGCCAGCCCACGTCCTGCTGCGACACACAGAGCACGCAACTCCAGCATGGCCAACCTCCCCGACAGCCACTGCATGACTGTGTGGAATCTGTGCTGTGGGGCCCGGGGGTCAGCAACATAGGTTTGCTGCAGGTCCAGCTGTGCCTCTGCTATGAACCAGGCATCCTCAAACTATGGCCTACAGGCCACATGCCGCCCGCCTAGGACATTTATCCAGCCCGCTGGGTGGTTTTGCCGCAGCTGCCTGTCTTGCTTAGCAGCTGACTCATCCTCAGCCCATAGTGCGCACTCTCCAACAGTCTGAGGGACAGTGAACTGGTCCCCTGTTTTAAAAGTTTGAGGACCGCTGCTCTGAACAAAGTAGAGTCCTCTCCCACACTCCAGTCTCGCCATCAAGGAAAGACTCTCCCACACTCCAGTCTCTCCATCAAGGAAAGACTCTCCCACACTCCAGTCTCTCCATCTAGGAAAGACTCTCCCACACTCCAGTCTCTCCATCTAGGAAAGACTCTCCCACACTCCAGTCTCTCTGTCTAGGAAAGACTCTCCCACACTCCAGTCTCTCCGTCTAGAAAAGACTCTCCCACACTCCAGTCTCTCCGTCTAGGAAAGACTCTCCCACACTCCAGTCTCTCCGTCTAGGAAAGACTCTCCCACATTCCAGTCCCTCTGTCTAGGAAAGGCAGGGATGTGGACTAGATCTGTATCTCCAAAGCATGGTCCAGGGAACCCCACAGTGGAGTGTGCACGCCACACTCATGATGGTGACACTGCTGGAGAGGGTGAGGGGACTGGTTCATAGGTTAGGAGTGACAATATTAGGATTTGCTTCTTTAAAATAGACAAAGCAAAGATAATTATGTAATAATTGCAAATTCTGCATGATAGAACTGGAAGTGCTTGTTATGCTATTGTGTGTACTTTCCTAGGCCTTAGATTTCTCAGCAATAAAACTGTAAGGTTTTCCGGCGGTGAAAGCAGCAGACAGAGAGAGAGAGTGGGGCCAAACAACGTGGCTTTATTGAGTGCTCCCAGGTGAGGTTCGCAGGTCCCAAGGAGGGGGGCAAGAATTCATGCCTGTTTGGAGGGAGTTAGGGCTCTTATACTGTTTGAGGTGGACCAGGGATTTTTGGCAGGAAGAGCTGGGGATTTTCCACTGTGACCTTTGG